TCTTATTACCTAGTATCTCTCTTTGCTTCAAACGTGTTGTCAAATGATTTTTTTCTCCAGAGAAAAGACATTTATTGAGAACTTACCATTCGCCAGGCACCTTTTTATTCATTGTCACAGCTAATCTTCACAGGGCCCTGTGTGGTGGGTGCAATTAAGTTGCCCTAAAGATAAGGTGACTAGATTTTAAAATTGGTAAAGCGGGACACCATTGATAAAACTCATATCCTGGCAAAATAGCCACATGGCAGCTGAAAACCGTATACCCTAGGTTGTCATGCATTCTTTACAAAAATCGGGACTTTTTAAAAATGCTGCGGGATGTGGGAAAATTTGTTAAAATTGGGATTGTCCCGCCAAAAGCGGGACGTCTGGTCACCTTACCTAAAGATGAAGAAGGAGCCCTGTTCGAGTAGGGAGCTACCCACAGAGCTACGGAGCATGAACGCCAGTGGGTTTGAACCCGACAGCCAGGATCAACAGGAGAAAGAGGAAGCTGTCCACCTAAGCAAAGATCTGAAGTCTCAGAAACCCAAAGGGGCATCTCTACCCTGTCCTCTAATCTTGCTGTCAGTCAGAACTGACTCCATGGCAGGGAGAAAAATAAACTCATCTCATGTGTCAAGGACGCACAGTGACTTGGTACAGCAAGACTTGGAACCCTGATCGCTTGAACCGTCCACCTCCCCAGTGTATCTTTCAAATTCAAGTTCACAGCTCTCACACAGTCCCGACCCATATGCTTACCATTCCGCACATTCGACACACAGTCCTGACCCAAATGTTCACCATTCCACACTCTGGACCCATATACTATTGTAAGCTAATGGTAACTTGAGGCCAGGACTGCTAGTGCTGTGTCTCAGAATGACCTCCAGGTCATTGCTTTCTTGGCAATATAATGTTACGACAAAGGTGGGAAGTTGTGCTCATCTCGTTTGGCACAGGGGACTGCCTGAGGGTTCAAGCACTGGGAACTGACTTCCAGGTCTTAGGTCACCAGAACTCGAACTGCATAAAAGACCATCTCCAGTGGCGATTTAAGTCTGCCACTTGTTTGTGTTGCTGCAACCCACACACGCCTTGTCACATCAATGATGGGGAAAAAAGGCGCTGTGAACTTGGGTTGTTTCTGGTTTCCCAATGAAATACGCTGGCATAATGATAAACAGAGAAAAAATTAAGGAGAAAAGATTTCATCTTGCTTGGATCCAAATGCTCATGGAAGCAGTACTCCAAAGATCAAACAATGCACTGCATTGGATAAATATGCTAGATAAAACCACTTTGAGGAAAATATGTTACTTTGAGGACCAAGGTGCACCTGACCCAAGCCATGGTATTCTCAATCGCCTCATATGCCTGTGAGAGTTGGACACTGAATAAGGAAGACCGAAGTAGAACTGGTGCAGTTGAACTCTGGTGCTGGTGAAGAATATTGAAAGTACCATGGACTGCCCAAAGGACAAACCAATCTGTCTTAGAAGAAGTACAGCAGTATGCGCCATCGAGGCGGGGAAGAGGAGACTTCATCTCATGGACTTTGGATATGCTATCAGGAGAGACTAGTCCCTGGAGACGGCCATCATGTGAGGTAAAGGAGAGGGGCAGCCAAAGAGAGGAAGACCTTAGACAAGCTGATTGTCACCGTGAGTGCCAAAATGAGCTCAGACACATGACTAATGGTGAGGATGGTGCGGGAACAGGTAGTGTTTTGTTCTGTTGAATTAATAGGGGCACTGAGTGGGAACAAATTAATGGCACCTACTATGTGGTAGTTACATAATCTGGTGCCAACTTGTGGAAGGGTGAATGGAAAGGTGGATTCTAGTCTGTCAATCAGGTCGCAGCTTGATGACCTCATTTGGAGGCGCTAAGGAGATAAATAGCTCTCTGGGGATGAAACACACCTTCATGCCCTGCGAGACATTCATCTTAACAAGACACATGGAGCTACGCTGAGCCTTGGAGCTGAATGAGCCACATGGAGACCACTGCCAGTGCTGAGATGCTTCCACTGCCACTGGATCCACAGGACTTTCCACCCACTGGCCTGTGATCTTCCTGCATTCAGAGTCATTACTTGTGTTGCATGAGGCTGAAGAGGAATTCATATATTGGTATCAGATATATGGGCAAATATTGGACTTATGGACTTGATTTGGACTGGGCTGGGATGTTTTCTTAATGTACAATTACTCTTTGATATACAGTTCTCTCTTACAAACATGAGTGTCTATGAATGTTTCTCTAGTCAACCTGGACTAACACATACTACCGCCACTATTGAAATAGTCTGGCCCTCTGTATCATCTATCTTGTATCCTTCTATAAAGCTAAGTAAACAGAAGATTTGATTAAAATCCATTTGTGCCTTCTGAATGATTACTCCCTTGGACCTGATATAGCTTCTAGGTCAAACTAAAGCTAAACCAATCGTCATTGAGTCAATTCTGACTCATAGCCACCCAACAACAGGTCAGGGTAGAACTGACCCAGAGGGTTGCCAAGGCTGTAGCTAGTGGCTCAAACTACCAACCTTGGGTTAGCAACTACATGCTTTAACCACTGGGTCACCATGTTTCCTTGATGTACTACTAGATCCTCTGATTACACAACTGTCTCAAAGTCAGCACACTGAAGGTTGAATTGATTGCATGTGTTTCTGAACTTATTCTTCATTGTAGTTCTCTCATCATGCCACCATTAGCATGTTTTCTTCCCCAACTTTTAAAATTTTATTTTTCATTTGAGATCTTTAATCTAACTGGAATTTCTATTTGTTTATGGGATTTAAAATACTCATGTAAAGGGTTACAGCCTTGGCAAAAATCTTGGGAACCACTCTTTTTTCCTTTCTTATTCCTTACACCCGAGCAATCATATGCATTTATTTAATGTTCCTCTCTGCATGTCCTCTGCCATTCTACTTGGGTTTAAACCTCATCACATTTTCCCTTGGTAACTTAAGTAGCCTCCTAATTTGACCTTCTTATAGTTCATCCTGTATATTACTTCTTAAGTATAATTTCTTAAAAATATAAATCTGATCATGTCACTCCCAACTCCAATGCCTAATAGTTCTCTGTAATCTTTGAGGGGGAAATTAAGTCTCTTAGCTCATATGGTATCAGCCTGTTATGATCTAGATCCTGTCTTATGTCTCTGCCCATATTTTGTATCACTCTTCTCTGCATATCTAAATCCTATATGCTACATTAAAGACATGCACAACTGCCTGTAGTTATGTGTAGTTATGTGTAGATTGTATGCTTGGTGGTTTGTCATCCATTATTTTGGCACAGGTTGAAGGTCAGTAAGTAAACCAAACTGCTCAATGGTTCAGAGAATAGATCTAATACAAATGCCAATTCGAAAACTGGTTCTGGACTGAGGACGTAAGTGGAGTGGTGGGCAGATGGGGGTTACTTCTTCTGAAAGTAGGCCTACAAATGAAATGAAAAAAAATGATGAAAAAACATAATGTCGAGTAAGATAGGCAACAGGAGGCAAAGACCATTCATGCCATTTAGCATTCACCTTATGCGAGAGTTTGACAAAGACAACTCACCATTAGGTATAAGTAGAGAAATCAAAGAGGCAAATGAAGAATTCACTTTCATCTGAAAACAGAAAGAAAGAAAAAACACAGTACAAATAAGATACTATTGCACTGATGGGAGTTACAAATAGTGTATTTCACTGCATTTTAGGTTGATCTACAATTCGCATGAGAGGGCAAAGAGCCAAGAAAAGTCCTCACCCTACTAGATACTGTCATGATAAAATGATAATAATTAGTATTAGAGTATGGTGCTGGTATGTTGTTGTTGCATGCCACTGGCTCAACAGGCTCAAAGCAAGTCCACGAGATAGAGTAGAACTGCCCCATAGGGTTTTGGCTATCATTTTCATGGATGCGGATCGCCAAGACTCTCCCCTGTAGAGCAACTGGATGAGTTCAAACCACCAACCTTTTGATTCTCAGCCAAGTGCTCAACCACTGTGTCACCAGGGCTCTTTAGTATTGGTATACCCAAACTCCCTGCCATCGAGTCAATTCTGGTCTATCCCATAGGACAGGGGCAGGTCTATCCCATAGGACAACATAGAACTGCCCCTGCGGGTATCCAAGTTCATGGGAGTAGAAGGGTCACATCTTTCTCCCTCAGAGCAGCTGGTGGATTCAAAATGCTGACCACGTGGTTAGCTGATCAATGTGTGAACCCACTGCACCCACAGGGCTGCTTGGTATAGGCATAAGAAGGAGCAAATAGACAATGGTATATAAAAATATAACAAATAGCAAAATAAAACAAGAGTGGCATTAAAACTTAGTATTGAAAGAAAGGACTTCAATAAATAGATCGGGGACAATTAACTATACATACGGGATAAAAACAAATAAAAACAAAAAACTCCCTGCTCTCAAGTGTATTCCGATTCCTTGCAATCATATAGGACAGGGCAGCACTGCCCTGTGAGTAGCCAAGGCTGGAACCCTTGACGTGAGCACTTTAAATCCCAGAAACAAATAGAAATTCCAGTTAGATTCAAGATCTCAAATGAAAA